ACACAAATATATGGATATTTGATTTACAAAAATGGTGGCATTGAATAAAATACAGGAATCCATATGAAAAACCATGCAACATTATATCATGCTCAAAATTTAATTTTAAGTAGACTATAGATGTAGATGTGAAAGGAAAATAAGAAAAGTTCTAAAAAAAAATAATAATAAAGGAAAAGTTCCTCAGGTACAGAAATATTTCTTAAGCAAAGAAGACACAAAGGAAAAGACTGAATAACTCTATAGTAAAGAACCTATGTTCATGAGAACAAATAATGCAGGCACAGAGTTGGGAAAAGATATTTGCAACATACATAACCAATCAAGGACTCTTATTCAGAATATATGCCAAGAATTGCTACCTCTCAATAACAAAAGACAATGCAGTAGAAAAATGGAGAGCAAATTTTTAAAAGCACTTTACAAAAGAGGTTATGCAAATGTACTCATCAGCAATCAATAATATACATATCAAGTGTATGATATATATATATATATATATATATATATATATATATATATATATATATACACACACACATATATTCTCAACAGAATAACATTAATCCATCAAAAATATTAAAAATAAGAATGTGAAATAACAGGAATTCTCATACACTACTGGTGGATGTGTAAATTGGTACATCCACTTTTGAACACAACTTGCAAATTAACAATGAGATTTGAATATAGACACACCTTAGGCATATTGTACAGGAATTTATGCACATGTGGATCAAATGTATAAAAATGTTCACAGCTACTTTACTAATAATGGCCCTCAACAACACAAACAATAAAATGCTAAGCAATAAGAAAGAATGAACTATAACTACCTACCACAACACAGATGAATCTAAGAAACATAGTATTGGACCAAAGAAGCCATACATAAAAGAATATTGCACGTATATTCATATTAAGATTGAAAATAACAAAACTAAACTATAATGTTAGGTTGCATGACCTCAGGCTAAAACTTGACAGATAGTCAAGACTGATTAAAACTTAGGAAAATGATGGATGATCTTTGGGGAAGGAGGAGAGCTGATCTGAGAAAAGACATGCTTTCTCAAAGAGCTAATTTGAGAAAACACAGCTTCTACAATGCTGACAATATTTATTTCTTGATTTTGGTAGTGATTAGACAAACGTTCAATTTATAGTAACTCACAGAAATTCATAAACACTCACTTTTCCCATCTACTTCAAAATAATGAAGCATATTTCTTTTTGGGTCAGAAATAGGAAAAATAAGTATAAATACTGGTTTTATTTCAAAAATATATTAGACACTAGAAAGATATGCAAAAGGTATTAATAAAAATAGGTATTTAGCAATGCAAATTAGTTTAATGATGTGGATGACAATAATAGTGGGAATAATACTTATTAAAATACTTGTTATATTATATATATATTTTTAATATATTTTTATTGATTTCAAAGAGGTAGGGAGAGGGAGAGATTAAAAACATCAATAATGAGAGAGAACCATTGATCGGCTGCCTCCTGCATGCCTTCCTCTAGGGATCAAGCCCACAACCCGGGTATGTGCCCTTGACCGGAAACAAACCCAGGACCATAGGCCGACACTCTATTCACTAAGCCAAACTGGCCAGGGCCTGTTTTGACTTTTGAGTAGTACAAATTTATTACTTTGTAAAAAAAAAAAAAAAAAAAGTCTTTAGAAAATAGACAATGATACTTAAAGGTGAAAACCTTTCTCAATCCCAATAACTAGCAGAATGTCTGACACATGCAGGCATTTCAAAAAATGTTTTCTAAATAAAGTAATGCTTTGGAGCTTGAGAAAATCAACTGAAATGCTGGTTCCCTCTCTTTTTTTGCCTCCGTATTCCTGGTTATCTGTAGAATCCATTTCCAAAACTGCCTCCCCAAGAAATATCTTTCCATGTCACACAACATGTTGGCCCTTTTCAAACAAATCAGTTATCTGAATTCAAGGCAAGACAATCTTTTTTGTTTTAATGCAGTATGTTTTAACATTTAATATTAGAAGTGTTTTAGGTTTTTATTTAGAAGGTTAATGATGTTTTTGTGGCCAGAAATATGCCAGAAAAACTTAATTCTTGTATACATCAATTAGCCTACGGTAAAACTGGTTTGCTTTGTCATTTCACTTAAAATAACAGTTTCAAAAAAATTTCTACAATGTTAAGTGAGTACTTAATGCGTTTCAGGAACATACTTCTGGCTTGCTACTAGGTTTTGAGAGAGACTGAAAGTCTAATCATGAATCATATCAGGTGATTATAGCCTCAACTTCCCATCAGGAACTGCAACCTAGCCATAAGGGTTGGTCATGAGAAGTAGCTAGCAAGCTATTATCAAATAAATATGATATATAAGAGATTTGAGTTTACCCAGGTCCAGAATATCTTGCATGATCAGGTGGCTCAGACTCCTTCAACACCAACTCCTGTTGCATTGCCTCCTCCCTCAATCTGTATCTATGCCCACCTCTTATGAGTTGACTGAGGAAGAAAAAACTTGAGCCTATTTTATAAATGAGTCTGCACAAAGAAGTGACACCACCCAAAAGTGGATAGCCCCACTCAGAGGTAACCCTGGAGGAAGATGGTGAAGGAAAATCCTCCTAGGGAACAGAACTTCAAGCAATACATCTGTTCATTTTGTCTCAACTAAAAGATTATGGAACTAAATGGGCAATTACTAATGGTTTGGTTGAATGGTCAGGGATGTGGAAAGAACAGGATTAGGAGACTGGTAACAAAGAAGTAGGGAAGAGGTAGGTAGAAGGATCTCTTTCAGAATGGGCTTTGAAGATTTTCTGTACCCCATGTGAAAGCCCAAAGGGTATCCATCGTAGAGGTGGCTTTTAGTAATCAGTTTAGTGAAATAACATTCTCTTTGGGTGTCAATCAAGCACTTTCCCCAGCCACCCCACTGCTGCTGGGTAATTTATTTGTCAACAGTAGAGACCAAACTGAGTCTCTGATATGGCACTATTCCTTAAATAACCAAACGACTATGTTATTTTATTTGTAAAAACAGTCAACTATGTTTTATTCTACTACTCAAGAAACCCAGATTTCATTTAACCAAAGGCCAATGATGGAGACTTTTAGGTCTAATGTTAAGACTAAAAATGGTATCAAAACTATTATGTCCCATACCATTCATTGGGTAAACAGTACCTTGAAACTTAAATTTAATATGTTTGCAACTAAGTTAGTTTAGTTGTAATCAGAAATCTTACTTTCTTAAAAGACAAAAAAAATCTCTTCTCTAAAAAGGAACTCTCCTGCATTCCTGGTGGGAGTGCAGACTGGTACAGCCATTGTGGAGAACAGTATGGAGTTTCCTCAAAAAACTAAAAATGGAACTCCCATTTGACCCAGTGATCCCACTTCTAGGACTATATCGCAAGAAACTAGAAATACCAATCAGAAAGGATATATGTACCCCTTTGTTCATAGCTGCACAATTTACTATAAGATTTGGAAACAGCTTAAGTGCAGATGAGTGGATTAAAAAACTGTGGTACATCTACACAATGGAATACTACGCTGAAGTAAAAAAGAAGGAATTTTTACCATTTGCAACAGCATGGATGGAACTGGAGAGCATTATGCTAAGCAAAATAAGCCAGTTAGAGAAAGATAAATATCATATGATCTCACTCATTTGTGGAATATAATGAACAACATAAACTGATAAATAAAAACAGATTCAGAGACAGAGAAGCATGGATCAGACCATGAAACCTCAGAGGGAAGGTAGGGGAAGTTGGGGGTAAAGGGGAGAGATCAACCAAAGGACTTGTATGCATGCATATAAGCCTAACCAATGGACACAGACACCAGGGAGGTGAGGGCATGAGTGAGGGGTGAGGGTGGGAAGGCAATAGGGAGATAAAAACACATATATAATACCTTAATCAATAAAGGAAAAAAAAAATCTTCTCAACATTATTGGAAAAAAGTCTCTAAAAAAATTTTATGTCACCAAACCATAATTTGAGGCCCCACAATATTAAGAATTACTGTCAGAACAAATGATAATACAACTATCTGGATAATTACCAATTACTTATTAACAGTCAGGCAATGTTCTAAGAGCTTTACTATATAGTAACTCATTTATTCCTCAAAACTAGCCTATGAAATAGGTTCTATTACTGTCCTATTTCACAGATGTGGAAACCTAGATACAAAGGGATTAAGTAATTTGCTCAAGGAGTAGTAAAGTGCAGATATACTCAAGTAATCTGCCTCTAGCATGTCAACGTCTATAAACTTCTGTTGAGACCTTTGAGTAGTAGCCTGCCAATCTCATAAGACACTTAAGGAGGCACTATTATTATCCTCATTTTGTCAAGAAATTTGCCCAAAGTCAGATCACTAATAAGTAATAAAATCAGGATTATATCTCGTTTGCCTTTCTCCAAAAACCAATTTCTTAAATATATATATATATATATATATATATATATATATATATATATATCACAATATAACCATTAAGAACAACGTATCCAGAAACCATTAGATAAATCAGACCAAATTTCATATAAAAACTACAGATTTATATGTCACGGTATAAACTTAAAGACATATGTTTCCTCAGAAATACAAAATATTGCCTGACCAGCATGGTTTAATGGTTGAGCACTGACGTATGAACCAGGAGGTCTTGGTTCATTTCCTGAGTAGGGCACAACCAGGTTTCAAGCTCAGTCCTCAGTGTGGGGTGTGCAAAAGGCAGATGATCAATGATTCTCCTCGTCATTAATGTTTCTCTCTCTCTCTCTCTCTCTCCCTCTCCCTTTTTTTCTGAATTAATAAAAAATATTAAAAAAAATAAAGGAATATGAAATACCCATTGATTCCTGCCAAATACTGCCAATTATCAATAAGCAAAGGCATTTATAAAATGTTATCACCTAATGAGAGAAAAATACACATCCTACATAAATTAGTTTAACATGTACTAAACACCAAATGTAAACTTACCTGCAAGGAGGCAAGACCATGGAGTCTTTCATAAGCACAGATCCAGAAAGCAAGATGTACCAACATCTGGCAATAGTTTCTGAACTATTTAAATAAATAAGTAAATAAATGAGTAAATAAACATACACATTCACATGTAGATAAATGGATTCAATACAAAGAACAGAACATGAAATATATTCTAGTATTGCATATCGTTACAAATTAAGTAACACAGACTATGTTCACATTCATCATTTTTATGTACTAAATCATCATATATGCTAGAGATTAACTTAAATATTGTACTATATCTGCATATTAGAAATCCTACTTCTAATGACTTTTCTGTATATTGAAGACAATATTATTTGGAATGCATACATTTATCAATGTATCTTCACTTCCAACAAAATTTGGATAATAATCTACTTGTTTTCAATGTCATTCTGAAGGACATAAGAATGTCTGCCCAATCTCTCATTTTATGTTGGAGGAATAAAATTAAAGATTATCAGATAACTTAAGTCCAACAGCATTTTAGTTTAGTTAAATCTCAGTAAAAACCCAGAATCTTGTTAGATGTTAGTTTATAATCTAAACTAATCTCTTTCTCTCAAATATCTTTATTTACCATACCTAAAGTCTTCAATCAATTTTAATATGAAGAAGATTCTAGTATTTATGAAAAAAAAAAATCTCTTCTTGAGTAAAGAACTATATATCTATCTGGCTCTTTACTTGACATGTCATCTTATATATCTAACAGACAATTCAAACTCAACATGTTTAAAATCTACCTCAAGGAAGGAATAGATTTTGTTTTTAATCAGATATGGAAAGTACTTATGACAAGGAAAAATTGAGGAAGTTAGAAATTTTTCTTCTTCAAAATGCCATTATTAGAGTAAAAAGTAAAGCCACAGTGTGGGAAGATATATGCAACATAAGTATCCAACAAAGAACTTGAAATAGAGAATTAAGGATTTCTAAAAATCTACAGAAATAAGACATACAACCCAATTAAGATATGATAAAATTTGAAACAGAATTTCAGAAATAGGTATCCAAATAGCCCATAAAAATAGGAAAATTATTCATCATTATTATTAAGCAGGGAAATGTAAAATAAAATCACAATGAGATAATAAAATGAAATGCATGTTGGATTCTATTAGAATCTCCTAAATTTGAGCATGTGAGGTTCCAATAATTCTATTACTAAGAATATGACCAACAAGGGCGGAAACTGATTTGGCTCAGTGGATAGAGCGTCAGCCTGCAGACTGAGGGGTCCCAGGTTTGATTCTGGTCAAAGACATGTACCTTGGTTGCAGGCACATCCCCAGTAGGGGGTGTGCAAGAGGCAGCTGATGGATGTTTCTCTCTCATTGATGTTTATAACTCTCAATCCCTCTCTCTTCCTCTCTGTAAAAAAACAACAACAAAAAACACCAATAAAATATATTAAAAAACAAAACAAAAAAGAATATGACCAACAGGACTGAGTAAATAAGGGCATAAAAAGATATGAATAAAATGTTCAAAGAAACTATTATTCATGATAATAAAAAACTGGGAACAATCTAAATATATATTAACAGGATAAACAAATTGTGTTATTTTCACAAAACAAGATACTATAAAGCAGTGAAAAAGAATAAGTGCAGCCTTGGCCAGCGGCTACTCAGTGGTTAGAACCTCAGCCTGAGCAACAAAAAGTTGAAAGTTAGATTACTGGTCAAGGGCATGAACCTAGGTTTCAGGTTCGATTTTCAGCCCTGGTCAGAGTGTGTGCATGAAGCAACCAATTAATGTGAGACACATTGATGATTTTTTCTCTCTCTCCTTCCCTACTTCCCTTTCACTCTCTAAAAGTCAATGGGGAAAAAATATCCTTGGGTGAGAATTAACAACAACAACAAAAGAAGAATGAATGCAAAAACATGAAAGAAATACAGACATTTGTAAAGTTAAGAGAGAGAAAAAGCCCAATGAAGATTTTATCTGTATGACATTCAAAAGAGGCAAAACTAATAAACAGCGATAGATATATTCTAGTATTGCAGATGATTATCTTTCCAAGAAAACTGACTAGAGCCTTCTTGAGACCTGGCATATTTTGCATGTTCACACGGGTAGGAATTACACAAGTGTGTGAGTGTGTGGGGGTGTGTTTGTGTGTGTGTGTTTTATTTTATTGTTGACGATATTACAGAAGTTCCCCAATTCAGGAGTCTATATTATTAACCACTGCCACGCTGTACACCTTTTGTACACTCGATGCCTGTTATATTTCATAGTTTGTGAATATATTTCAATCTGTCCTACAGAAATTGTTCCAAAATTTCAATGCTAAAAGTCAAAATTTAAACATTTAAGCAATTAATTTAAGCTAATTATGAAAGTACTTACCAAAAAAGAATTTGATTGCCACTGTATCTCTCATAGCGTGCTCTTGCAGACATTAATCTATTTTGAAAAGTAAAAATTTTAAAGATTTTTATCTTAAGAAAATTCTGTTATAATCACCTCAATAGGAATTATCAGATCTACCACTACGCTTTTCACTAAACGATAAGTTTAGAAATATATACATTAAATGCAACATTTTAAAAAAACAACTAGATATTAAGTGGCAACAAGTATAATTCTCTTTATGTACATCCTATAACCTGTCAATTCACACTGAATCCTTTTGTGAAGAACAGTTACTGACAGATGCGAACACACACACACACACACACACACACAAATTCTGTTGAATAACTATATAAATTTACTTTCATTTAAAATATATGCTTAGTATTACTAAATGTTCTAATTTTCAGTTTTCTTCTTTCTTATTTGATACACACTAACACTTGAATTGTTTTAAAGGAAACAGAAAATAATAAATTCCAAAGAATTAATTAGTAATCTGGTCCATAACCCAAAACTTAAGGAACAGCCAGACGGGTGTGACTCAGTGGTTGAGTGTTGGTCAACCCACAAACCAGGTCACAGTTCGATTCCCAGTCAGGGCACATGCTGGAGGTTGCAGGCTTGACTCCTAGTAGGGGTCGTGCAGGAGGCAGCAGATCAATGATTCTCTCTCATCCTTGATGTTTCTATCCTTCTTCCCCTTCCCCTCTCTTAAATCAATAAAAACATTAAAAAATAAAAATAAAAACAGCCAGAAAAAGAGATGGATAACCTGGCCATAGAAGGCAAATACATTTCAATTACAATGTTATGTAAAGTTAAAATAGCAGTTTTAATAGCACACAAACAGTTTTTACAAATTCAGGGTGGAGCAAAAGTAATTTATAGTTATATTTAAGCATAATTAAAATTAAGCATTTGACATAGTAAATATAAACATGAACTATAAAAACAAAACAAAGACGTTTTATTTTCACAGGCTAGCACAGTGCAGTGCTTTGGTTTACATAGTTACAGTTGACCCTTGAACAAAATGAGTTTGAACTGAGCAGGTCCACATATATGCCGACTTTTTTCAATAAGTACTATAAATATATTTCTCTTCTTCATGATTTTCTTAACATTTTTTCTCTAGCTTACTTAACTGTAAAAATACAGTATATAACATATAAAATATGTGTCAGCCCTGGCCAGTGTGGCTTAATTGGTTGAAGCATGGTCCCGTGCACCTGAAAGGTTGCAGGTATGATTTTTAGTCAGGGCACATACCTAAGTTATAGGTTCAATCACGTTAAGGCCAAGTATGAGAGACAACTAGTTGATATTTCTCTCTCTCTCCCCCCTCTTCTTAAAAAAAAAAAAAATCAATTAAAAACATATTAAAATGTGTTAATCAATTACTTATATTATCAGTAAGATTTCTGATCAACAATAGGCTATTAGTAGTTAGATTGTGAGGGAGACAAAAGTTATATGGATTCCCATGGCTAAGAAAAACTGGTATGAAAAACACAAATTCCTTATGCTCATTCTATAAAAAGTCCTTAAAAAAGAGTTGGGCCCTGCAATTATATATCTAAACTCATTTGAATAACTATATAGCACAGTTCTTAAACATAGCATCATACTTACCTAAGCTGATGTTCTCTGAGGTTTGATAATATTTCCATTCCATGAAGATAAGAATAAATAGTGTTTAAATCCTAAAGAATAGAAATTATTTTAGATTATTTCAAATATATTTTTTAAATATAATGATACCCCAACAATTATGATTATAAGCAATCACTTAGAACAAGGATCTAGGAGAATCATAAAATCTCTGAATTGTAAGAGATCTGAAAAGAACTCCCTCAACTCCCCCTAGTATGGCTGATGGCCTATATACAATTAATACCAGAAATTAAAATCCCAAATATTTAAGCATCCTGGCTGACCACTGAAGATAACTCAGTTCATTGTAAATTAATCCTATTGTTCATTACAATCCTATTGTTCACTCTGTGAAAGAGTTGGGGAACCTTTCTCTAGCACCATGATTATATGTAGTTTAAAAAAATTTTTAAATATATTTTATTGATTTTATACAGAGAGGAAGGGAGAGAGATAGAGAGTTAGAAACATCGATGAGAGAGAATCATCGATCAGCTGCCTCTTGCACACCCCCTACTGGGGATATGCCCGCAACCAAGGTACATGCCCTTGACCAGAATCGAACCCGGGACCCTTCAGTCCCCAAGCCGACGCTCTATCCATTGAGCCAAACCGGTCCCGGCTATATGTAGTTTAAATTACATTAAATGTACTTCCTTATTCTCTTATAAAGAATAATGCCTTAATACTAGGGCAGACTGCTCCCCAACACTGCTTTCCTGCTTTGATACACAAAAGAATTATCAGACAACAGAAATCCTTAGGTGAGGACTTAAAGAAAAAAGATAATTCTGTTTCCAGAAAAGAAAAGGATAGCAAACTAGTGCCATCAGTAAAGACTTAAATTAAGCAAGGGTGATGAAGAAAGCAGATGAGTCGAAACCGGTTTGGCTCAATGGATAGAGCGTCGGCTTGGGGACGAAAAGGTCCCGAGTTCGATTCCGGTCAAGGGCATGTACCTTGGTTGCGGGCACATCCCCAGTAGGGGGTGTGCAAGAGGCAGCTGATCGATGACTCTCTCTCATCGATGTTTCTAACTCTCTCTCTCCCTTCCTCTCTGTACAAAATCAATTAAAAAAAAAAAGAAAAAAAAAAAAAGAAAGAAAAGAAAAGAAAAAAGAAAGCAGATGAACCCTACAAAATGGCTGTAGACTGCTACAGGTTTAACCAAATCCTAGCCCTAGGCATAGCTGCAATCACAGATATAATACTGTTGTTACCATTAATTCGTTAAGCTTCAGGTATTGATGTGGTGAAGATATTTTCCATTCCAATTACAAAAAGGTTCAGAAACAGTTTGTATTCATGTGGGGCAATATTAATTTACAATTTCTCACGTGGAGCAATATTAACTTACAATTTTGCCTTAGGGCCATTTTAACTCTCTTACTCTCTGTCATAAAAATAATCTGAAGACATACAGATCTCCTAACCCATTACATAGATGATCTCTTGCTGACTGGATAAAATGAGTAAGAGAATAGGCAAGAGGTGGCTGATATCCTAGAGTCCTTGATAACACATTCAGAAAGTGGGAGATAACTCTATGAGGACTAAAAGACCTGCCACTGTAATGTTCTTTTGTATTTTTTTAACTTAACTTTATTGTTGAAAGTATTACAGATATCCCTTTTTCTCCCCCATTGATCCCCTCCACCCTGCTCTCACCCCCTCTTCAGGCCTTTACTGCACTATTTATTGTCTGTCCATGGGTTATGGATATAAGCATGGAAATTCTTTGGTTAATCTCTTCCAGTGGTTAGGACATCCTCTCCAAAGTAAAAAAAAAAATACTTGGGACTTCAGCCTTCGGTCAAGATGTAGTAAGAGGGACTGAATTTATCCTCCACCTAAAACACCTAAAAATCAAAACAAATATATGAAACATTTTTCAAGAGATAAGACCTCAGGAAACAAAAGACAGTTTGAAGAGAAACAAATGAGTGAATTTACAGGATTATCACACCTTTCCAGTGGTACCACCTGTCTGACAGTGTCTTGAGAAGCTGGCAGTCTGGGGTGCAAAAGGAGGCTTGAGTTTGGAGAGCAGGAGACAGAGAGAGCGTGCTACAGAGAGACAAAGTATGTTCTAGAAACCTATAGAGGGTCTCCTTTGAGTCTTAAATTGAGTACTATCATCTCATGCATGTGAAAAAATATCTGAAATTAGGGAAAGAACCATCAGAAAGAAACCAGCATCAAAATGAAAAGGGAACCCACAGTATGGAAAAACAAAATTGCCAATGATACATCTGATGATAAAGGGTTAATTTCCAAAATATATGAAGGACTCATACAACTCAACAAAAGGCAAACAATCCAATTAAAAAAAATGGTCAGAGGGCCTCTGCTCAGCCCCAACCTGCAGGGGCAGGACCCCCTCACCCCCCTCGGCAGCTGTCATACAAAGGGACTCCCCCAGTTTGGTGCTGTGCTCAAATCCACTGTCAGCCGGGCCCAGAGCTTTCTCCGGGGCTGGCTGCAGACTCCTGCCTCCCCAAACCCTCCCAGGCCCAGGACCCAAGCCTCTGGGTCCAGGAGCCACTGCTCGCCATCTAGCCTGGCACTCTGCCTACCCGGCCTCAGCTAGGGCCTGTGCCCTTGAGCCCCATCCCCACCCAAACTCTTCAAACTGACTGCGTGTTGCCTGCCCAGATGGGGAGGGCCGGACTGCAAGGGTCTGACACTTTCCTTCTCTCCCATCTGCTATCACAAGCCAGCCTCTTCCATCCCTCCATGGCCACCCCCCAGCCATTTTGTACCATTATATAAATATATATAAATATAATATATAAATAAAAAAAAATGGGCAGAAGAGCTGAATACACACTTCTCCAAAGAGGACATAAAAATAACCAAGAGACATATGAAAAAATGCTCAAATGACTAATCATCAGAGAGATGCAAATTAAAGAGACAATGAGTTACCACCTTACACCTACCAGAAGGGCTATCATCAATAAATCAACAAAAAACAAATGCTGGCAAGGATGTGGAGAAAAAGGAAAACTACTACACTGTTGGTAAGGAATGCAGACTGGCACAACCACTGTGAAAAACAGTATGGAGTATCAGCAAAAAATTAAAAATGTAATTGCTATTTGACCCAGTGATTCTTCTTCTAGGATTATATCCTAAAAAGTCAGAAACACCAATGAGAAAAAAAGTATGAACACCTATATTCAAAGGAGCTTTATTTGCAATAACTAAGATCTGAAAACACCCCAAGTACCCATCAGTAGATGAATGGATTAAAAAACTAAGCAATATTTACACAATGGAATACTAGGCAGCTGAAAAAAGAAAGATGTTACCCTTTGAGACAGCATGGAGGGACCTGGAGAGTATTATGCTAAGCAAAATAAGCCAGTCAGAGAAAGACAATTAATACACAATCTCACTTATATGTAAAATCTAATGAACAAAATAAACTGATGAATAAAAAACATCCAGAGCCATTGAAGAATGCAACAGAGATATTTCAGAGGGGAGGGAGGGTGAGAAGAGATTAACCAATGAACTTACATGCATATATGCATAGCCCATGGGCAGACAATAATGCAGGGAAGGCCTGCAGAGGGGACAGGAGCAGGGTGGAAGGTGTCAGTGGGGGTGTGTGTCAGGGTGGAGGAGGGATATCTGCAATACTTTAAACAATAATAAATTTAAAATATATATATTTTTCACATATACAAAGGCTGAATGAATTCATCATCAGTATACCTGCCATATTAAAAAAAAAAAAAAAAGTTAGCTGAAACCAGTTTGGCTCAGCGGTAGAGCATCGGTCTTTGGACTGAAAGGTCCTAGGTTCGATTCCAGTCAAGGGCATGTACATTGGTTGCGGGCACATCCCCGGTAGGGGGTGTACAAGAGGCAGCTGGTCGATGTTTCTCTCTCATCGATGTTTCTAGCTCTCTCTCTCCGTTCCTCTCTGTAAAAAATCAATAAAATATATTTTAAAAAATAAATTAATTAATTAATTTAAAAAAGTTAAAAGTACTTCATAAAGGAGGAAAACAATACCAGATGGAAATCTGGAACTACACAAAGGAATGAAGAAAACTGAAAATGGGCCGAAACCGGTTTGGCTCAGTGGTAGAGTGTCGGTCTGTGGACTGAAGGGTCCCAGAATCGATTCCAGTCAAGGGCATGTACATTGGTTGCGGGCACATCCCCGGTGGGGGGTGTGCAGGAGGCAGCTGGTCGATGTTTCTCTCTCATCGATGTTTCTAGCTCCCTGTCCCTCTCATTTCCTCTCTGTAAAAAATCAATAAAATATTAAAAAAAAAAAAAAGAAAAGAAAAAAAAAAGAAAACTGAAAATGGTAATTATGGGTAAATATGAATTTTTTTTTTTCTATTTAAGATAATTGTTTAAAACAATAAAGATAACTTAATTGTGGGGTTTGTAATATACTAGAGGCCCAGTGCACAAAATCCGTGCCCTGGGCTGGCAGGGGAGACCCTCAGCTCAGATTCGAAAGGGCACAGGCCAGGCGGAGGGACCTCACTGGTGCACAATCCCAGCTGGAGAGGACAGTGGAAGGTTTGCCAGCTGGGGAGGGACCATGGGAGGGCTCCAGGGCAGACGCTCAGTCCCGATTGGCCAAACCCAGGCAGCAAGGTCACCTATCAGCCAGATGTCTGCCCCCTGGTGGTCAGTGTGCATCATAGAGACTGGTTGAACAGTCAAACAAACGGTCAGGCACTTAGCATATTAGGTTTTTATTATATAGGATTATTTACTCTGTTCTCACGTCAGAGGACATCTTTGATACACCATTGATAATGCCATGATTAGCTGACAAAGAATTATAAATTCACTTTTCAATTATAAAGTCCAAGCAAGAATATAATGCTTAAGTTTTAAAATATGTGGTTCTTCAAGTCTGTCTTAGAGACTGACAAGTTTATCAATGTTAGATTCTAAAAGCCCTTCTTCAAATATATGAAAGTTTGTCCTTTTGTATGCCTTCAATCTCCTTACTTTAGAGGAACAATCTGTCCATATGAACAATATTCTCCAACAGTATCTCTAAGTGTAACTG